TAAGTTGGAATCATTCCATAATATTTACAAAAGATTTTTGGGAGGTCACTCAATACAACACGCAACAGAACTGTATAGAGCTTTCAGACCACACAATAATAAACATCCGGCTTGTATTCACTTGTGATACGTATAATCAGCAACTGTTCCCTGGTATTCCTGGAGAGATATATAAATGATTTTGTGTTGACCTTTAAACAATATGGAGACATCCCGCTATCTCTGATGGTAGCGGAGTATATGTTTACAAACATATGAGGATGACTAAACTGATCACATGATTTTTTAGCTAGATCAACTTTCAGTCTTACATTTTATCACACAGCAAGTTTTATAACCCTGACAGTTCATATATCTTGGGTTTTTTTCTCTAGAGAAATATATGACCGACCTGGTGCACCGAGTTATCCTACATACAGGTGCACGAGTTATCCTACATACAGGTGCCCGAGTTATCCTACATACAGGTGCACAAGTTATCCTACATACAGGTGCACAAGTTATCCTACATACCAAGCCGAGTCCCTGTATCCTTCAACATCTCAGACACAAAATGTTTTCATGTGAATTAAAGTGAAGGTGAGAAACGGTTACCACCCATTGTAAATTACCTAAAGTTCACTATATATAACACCACTATCTCTATAATGAATAGTACCTATTCTGTAGGTACTCTGATATAATATATTTACCTATGGTTGGGAGAATACTCCTGTTCTTGGGCATTTTCAAAACTTGATTTTAATAGTTAAAAAAAACTAACAATGTAATAATTATGCAATTTTTCAAAGGATATGTGTTCCAATACTTGTGACTCTTTTTGACAAATTTGTGTTAAAATGTATCGTAGGAAAATATTACAAAGTTACCTCCCTTTGAGAGTGTTCAATCTCCACTAACAGTTAATTAATATTTTGTCATTTTCTTAAAAAATGAAGTTTTTTAGTATTTTTCTGTTGATTATCATAGTATTTTTTGCAGATAAGCAAAATAAGGTATGCATTATAAAATAATATATATATAAAATGTATAATCAGAGTTATCCTCTTGAAGTAGCAGCAATTACCATCAAGTCACCCAAGTCTAATGTTTTCTATACTAAAGACATAATATATTTTTGCAAACAGGACCATCAAATTAATTTCCAAAGGTGTTTTTTTATCACATTACATGTAATACATGACATAGTGCACACTGGACATTTATATTTCTGTTCTTACAGACATGTTTCCTGAAGTGTGTCGGTAAATAAAAGTTTACACACTTAACATTAACATCTAGACCTGTGTTCCTTCCTACCACAAACCTGAGAACAAAACCCATTTACATCAGAAACAATGCTATCCTTGTTTATAAGGCTGAACTCACTTTGGCCTACATTGTCACAGCCCCATGCATGTTAACAAATAAAACTGTCTTAGGCTGAATAAATGGTAAAATTGTGTTTCTCTGTTTAGTTCAATAAATATGGCCTTAATGGACATTCAGAAGTTTATCAATTATAAAATAAATATGACATATTTCCTCCAGTTTGAACATTTCAAAGCAAATAACTGGAGAAGTTTGTCAAATAAAAAGGATGATTTAACTTGAATCTGTCTCAAAACAGTGTTATACATTGATAATATAATATTATTATATCTAAAAGAACATTAAGTTTAAGTAACCATGATATTAAATAATCTGGAAACTTATTACACTGCGGTGCACCTAGCTACTTGTGTATGAGAGGAGATGGGGGTACATTCTCTGATACAGAGCCATCTGCTAATTAAGCTCCATGTATGTGTTTGTTTACAACAAATTACCGAAAACCGGAACTAAAGCCTGCCTTGGCCTTGTCTGTAATGATATATGAACAGAGCCTTATCAGAAACTGCAGACCACTACATTTCCTCAGGAGACAAATAGGAGGTGACAAACAAATTAACTCGAGGCAGCAGCTAGCACAAATCTACCACCTGATGAAAGGTTCGGAGAGTCAGTGAAGTAAAGATGA